TTATTAAAAAAAAATTATTTTTAAATTTAAATTCACAAAAAAAAATTAACTATAAAATTTAATGGTTAAATTGATAAATATTAACAAATATATTGAATCAAAAAATGTATTAATAATTTTTCTACTTTTTTTTAATTCAAGCATTTGAAAATTATACTATAAAATTAGTGACTATTTTTTTGATATTTGTATTAAGCTAGATAAAATTGTTGTCTTTATAAAAATTAATCACAAATAATTTCTTTAATCGAGTTATAAGCATTTTCTTTATATTTAAATAATTCTTATAATTTAAACTTTAAAAATAAAATTTTATTAAAAAATATTTATACTATATTAAAAAATTTTCAGAAGCTGCCCCTCCTTTCGCATGCTGGTCCGTCCGTCTCTAACCTTGCATATATTCTTCGTCAAGAGACGTGCCGTGTTAGGCAAAAAATGTATAAAAACTACAAAGTAAGAGCTGATCAGATCGATGCGGCGTTTTTTCTGCATTTTCTTTCTCCGGTCAAGAGCATTGTCTTCTTTCCTCTACATACAAGATATGTCATTTCAAGGCAATCTCCATGGGAACTTCGGTCTGCCACCGGATATATATAGATTGTGCCCTAATTTGCATTTTTGTCATGTGTTTGTCAAGAGTAGCTAGAAATTTTTGAAATTTTATATTTTTAAAAATTAAATATTGATTAAGGTAAAAAATAATTTTTTTAAATGAATCTAATTTAAAATCAATTAATAATAAAAAATAATTTTCATTATATTTAATTAATATATTTTTTTATTAACTTAATAATGTGAGATATTTCTAACATATTCTTGCACTTATTAAGCATTTAGTCATGTTATGTAGATTTCTAATTAACAAACAAGCTTAATAAATCCTTTCGTCGTGCAACCCACATTATACCTCATACTGTGAAAACTAGACATATAAAATTCAAATTTCAACACAATATTTATATCCAACATGAGACAGAATAGATTCCTACAAAGCTACAACTCACTAGATGATTTGCATTTTGTTATCAAGTGCAACGGCCTTAGAAGGAAATTT